GAGAGAGGAAAGACCTCCTCCAGAGGACAGCTAGCAGGAAGCTAACACAGCAGCCGGTACAAAGGTAGGTGTGTGCGTGCGTTTGTGTTATATGAAATGTTTTTAGGCAACTTCGTCATGAGTTTTATGCAAAAGTAAAACCTTGTTAGAGTGTATATTACAGCATAGACTAAAGCTGAGTGACGACCCCCTCCTCCCCCTGAGCACCGAGAGCAGCAGAACCTCCACCTGATAATCATTACGTTTTCAGTTCACTAACGTCGGGGAAAACGATCCAAACCATACAAGTAGCCCATTGATTTAAAGCCCAGACTCTGGTCTTTCCAACAATATAAGTTTCACAGCTCTACGTGAAAAATTCACGGAACAAGCAGCCACAGAAAAGTGAAAAAGGCTGAATTCTGGAACCATAAACACGAACGTCTTTCCTTTGTTTTTATGGCTTTAATCCACTTTGGAGTGATTTTTTTCCACTTGGCCGGACCTGTACGTCTCCTGTGTTAATGTTGGTACATGTAATATGCTAATTATGTACTGAGGAGATCATTAAGAGTCGTTGTCGGGTGAAAAATTCTTTCGCTAACACTGTTGACCGTGAACCGGAAGTGTTGGGAGTGGCATCAAGTGCTGGACCGGATGTCTGTGGCATATAGGCTATTCAGGGATGCTTTAACAATATTCATCTCTATAGAGCATGCCAGTGAGGTGTGATGTTGTACCTGAGGAAAGTCTAGATTCTCTTCAGTGTTGAAGCTCCTCTCAGATTCAGCTGTGGTCAGAGGAGATGTGATGAGAATCTTCAGCAGAGTCACAGTCTCTGAAGGTGTCCTGCAGATTGTTCTCCATGAAGAGCAGCTGGTACAGAGCCACATCACCACTGCAGCTTCTGGACTAGATCGGACTTCTTGGTTCTGTTCAGCACTGGTTGAGCCTCCATGGTCTTCAGAGCTTCTTCAGAAAATTATCTGTGATCCTGCAGGAACCTGTCAGCCTGCAGCACTGTAGCACTGATCAGATGCTTTGTGAATGACTCAAGATGATGTCACAAACCTAAACAACTAAAAGCACAAATTTAATTCAATACGGAGATGGTACAAGTGAGCTTTCTAATATACAGTATATATTTAAAGGAGACCAACTATGGGTCCTAGAAATTTTTATGGTATGTCTGTGGGCCATCCAGACCATGTTCATTCAATTTAATGCACAAAATAATTCTCAGATAATAAAATTACTCATTTCCTAGTTCTGTCTGCTCTGACTTTTGTTCAGAAGAGCTGTTTATGTTAATGAGCTCTGATGCAGGCTGATCAGAAAGACCAGCAACTCAGGTCTTTCTGAAAGGTCTTTTAACCTGGTTATAATTTTATATCATGATTATGAACTGTGGTGAATAGTTTAATGTATTTTATTTCAGTTTCAAATGCCTCTTATTTACCTGATAATGAAAAATATTTAAAACAGGCAGAAGTAAAGTAGATAGGACAGATGTGTTGAGTTGTATTATTCCTCTGAGATCAGTTTCACCAACTTAAAAAAAAAAGATTTCCAGCATTAAATTGTTTCTTCTGTTACAGTTACCAAAAAGACTTTTTACTTTAAATTCTGTTAAAAATAGGTTCAAAAGAAAAGAGAATTGAGCTGGTGGGAAACAGACCATGAGGAAATACAACTTCTGTAAGAAACAGTGAATCAAACAGAAGCCCAGATTCTTTTCCAAAACCTCTCTAAAATATTGATTCTCTTGAAAAAGTAGCAGAACCCAGTGTGTCTAACTTCAGTTTATTCATCAGATTAAAACCTGTGTTTTCTTCTGACACATCATTAGAAGCTTTGTGGGAATTGTTAGGGATGTACGATATATCAGCACTAATATCGGTATCGGCCAATACTGGTCATTTTTTTAAAAAGTCGGTATGGGTCCGATATGTAAAACTCGGCCGATATTAATGTATTAACGATATTTATTTCACACTTTTTATCTTTGTGTTTCTGTTCTGGGAGGGGAGCTGGTTGGTTGAGCAGCTTCTCTTTGATCATAATAGTGATATTGACGCTGCACAGCCAGGACTAACTGAAGTAGGGAGCCATGTCAGAGGTCTGGTTGTTTACTTACAGTATCAAAAAAAGACCCAAGTGTGTTTGTGCATATATGTATAATACAATTTGTGTGTTTGTGTAATATTGGTAAAGATCGGTTATCTACCATAACAACAATAATTATATCACGATATCGGCTGAAATTTTCATATTGTTGTATCCCTGTGTTTTTCTAACTTGAGCCTTTTATCTGAAGAGACATCGTTTTTATCCTTTAATGACTTTGAACAAGTGATTCAGGCTTTTATTACCTCCCAACTAGATCACTGTAACTCTGTATGATGGTGTTAGTCAGACTGGACTCTCAGAACCTGCACCTTGTCCAGAAACTGCAACTTGTCCTGAGCCTTCAGCTCCATGATTGTTTCTCTTCTTTACGGCTTTAAGGACCTGGATAGACAGACTACTGTAGACTTTTGAGTCCTCCTGATATCATAGATCTAATGATTATTTGTTTTTTTTTTGGCTTGCAGTCCAGTCTGGTCCACAGAGGTGACCGGTTCTCTAGTTGACCACATTCAGAGTTACGAAAATCCTTGTGACGATGGACAACTTTAAGCCCCATGGTCTTGGCTGCCGCGAGCCCAGGACTGAATTCTGCCCACTGTTTAGTTCAGTTGCCATCGACCCCAATCACGTGACTGAGTCCTGCCCACTAATTGGCTCAGATGCCAC